ATTCTCGGTAAGACTGTTATTTGTAATACCAGAGGCATATTTGTATTCAAATGCAAATAATTGAAGTCCATAAATATGCTGCATGGCATCTTACATATTCCTGTTTTCACACAGCACTGAAAGCTCCTTTTATTTACCCTGAACTGAAGAACCAGACTACCAATATTAGTGAAACGGTGGAGGTGCGCTGCCAAGCCACTGGTACTCCTGATCCAAAGATCATTTGGTTCAAAAATTCCCAGGCTCTGGTTGGAGACTCAGGTAACAAAAGATAAAAAATAATCTCATCTAAGCATGTCAGATTAATTTACTACACAGGCAGATGCCTCCTTTAGAACAATGGGTAGGGAGATATTTGTCCATCCTCAAATGAATGACTGGAGCATCTATCCCACCACAATATCTAGCTGACAATAATTGTGGTTTGTGAGTGGCACGGCTCATTCTTCCCTCTCCAAAGAAAAGGGAAGGTTCTGGCCACACTCAAACAGATATTTTCCAACTCTTTGTGTTTGAAAAAGAGCCGCTCCAACTGAAATCATGGAGGGTCTTGACTATGCTGTCTGCCATCCTAGAAATGATCACAACCTGGTGGATACTACGTTACCTTGTCATTGCAATCTCTTTCAAACCATAAAGTATTTCCAGCCAGAACATTGTTTGTAAGAAGTCAGAATATTGTTTTTCATTTTAGATAGTTTAGAGAATGGTTAAAACACACATTTTTTTATTTTGATGTCAAAGGAAAGATTTTCCTCCACTTCATATCTAGAGACACAACAGGAAGTAGATGATCTTTCCAAAGTAAGGGACATTCTCCTTAACAGCTGTCACTGGAACGAATGTCCCCATTGGAAGATGTTATCCAGAGTTCCTGGCCCAGTGACAACTCAAAGTTTTACAGTTCTCCTCAGGAAGGTCACTAACTAGGGCCAATCCAGTGAAGGAGAGAAGGCAAATTACACCATTGAGAACACATAAAGCAATAAAACATGACAGAGGTTCTAATCCCTCGTCACTCTGTCCAAAGGAAAAAAAATGACTTTAGATACACTTCAAACTATTTAGAAGTCCATCACACATACTTTGACAGTCAGGGAGTAGGGTGAAATCATCCCATTGAGCACACAGATAGCAATGAAAACCTTACAAGGGTTCTAACCATTCTTCACATGTCTAGAAATAGACTTCAGAATCACCATTGTCTCCAAATGATTTTGTTTTTCATTTTCAGGAATAATATTAAGGGAACATAACAGAGCTTTGACTATACAACGTGTAAGAAAACAAGATGAAGGGTTTTATTCCTGCCGAGCCTGCAATGATTTGGGTTGTGCTCAAGCAGAAATGTACTTTACAGTGAATGGTATGCACTGATTCATAAAAAATAATGATCTCTCTCACGCTATATATATATCCCTGTATTGACTTCCTCTTATCAATATAAAGACAGACTGTGCTTATTAATAACAGGTGTTGTGTTTATTCACATCAGTCTTTAACAATGCTCCAATATTTTAGCAATAGGCTGCATGCTTATTGACAGGATGTATTTCACTGTAAAAATCAATTTAATCCACTTATAGTTCAACATTGCTCTGAGAATATTGTTGCCAGAAGTCACCCTTAGAAAAAAGAGTTTTTTTTCTGACTTACAGTCAACTAGAGGACTGTACATAGATTTGTGCAAATGATTTAATAAAAAATAAATCTATTTTATGTTTTTGAAAAACCCTTTTTATGGTGATAGATAGTATCAGAACAATGTTCCCTACTACAGCAAAGGTGTATGCACATGATCCTCTGATTACCATAGAAGGGAAATAACACTGTTCAACAGGTAAAAAGTTTTGGGCATAAAATTAGCTAATCTTACATAATTTTGGGGTGCTGAAAACGAAAATGACCCTAAAAAATGTTGATTGGCTCTAGTTTCCATGATATATTCACCCATCTAATGACGTAAGCCATTCAAAATTATGATGCAACTTCAGCTGCATATTGCGCAATTGATACTGGTGACCAATAGAAAATTGCATGTATACTGAGATGATGCAATATTAGCCTTTAATTGCATCACTTCACTGCATAAAAGCTGCAGTATCTGTAGCTGATTGTAGTTCGACAGCGTCTTTACATTTCGTTTTATGCTTATATAGGCTACTCAGTAATGCCTCGAACTTGTGTGAATAAAGCAGATAATTTCTGCTATATCTGCGGTGAAATAACTTTAATCTCACAAAAAAGGATAACAGGAATGATTAAGAAAGCCTACAACTTGTATTTTGGCTGCAAAATAGGAGACCAGGACAAGAGCTGGGCACCACATATATGCTGCAATTCTTGTGGGACGGCACTGGAGCAATGGTTGAATGGAAAAAAGGCATCTATGCCTTTCGCTGTGCCAATGATTTGGAGAGAGCCAACAGATCATGTTAGTAATTGTTACTTTTGTATGGTGCCTCCAATTGTAAAAGGGCTAAATAAGAAGAAAAAGTTATCTGTGCACTATCCAAATATTCCATCGGCAATACGTCCAGTTCCTCATGGAGAGGGGCTACCAATTCCTAAAGCACCAGAATCCTTCGTGGTTGAGTCAAGTGAGGAAGAACCTGAAGCGTGTAGTCACGTGCAGTTGTAAGAGATAGCCCTTTCCTCGAATACAAGAGAAAAGCCAAGAGAAGCAAAACCGACACAAACTGAAGACAAAACTAGTGAGAATCCTAAGTATTAAAATGATTCAACTTAGCTTATGGCTATAATTTTTCTTGGTAATCCTATGCAATATATTATGCCATTTAGGCTTTGTTATGTAGTCAATATCACTTGCTTTATATTTGTGGAAAGACATCTATCTATATAATTATTGTGCATTATGTAGTCATTACGCCTATAGTAGAAAACTTTCCGTTTACAGAAAAACTAGAGCCAATTGACAAATTTCATTGTTATATTTGAACTCAGAATGTGAAATTCATTAAGAAATGGATCCTTTTGTTTCCAAAACTGGCAAAAAATAAAAATTTGTTGAACAGTGTAATCTGTTTACCTAAAAAACAAAAAAAGAAAAACAACAAAAACATATTCTTTGCAGATGAAAGATCAACACGTATTTACTAAAAGTCAGAAGCTCAAAACATCTTGTCAACTCATAATGTTGAAGTTTAATCTGATTATAGCGCTGAGCGAACTAATGGCGCTTTATAAATACTGTATAATAATAATAATAATATTTTGCCTTTCCTGGTTCCTCCCTCTCCCTTCATCATCAAGTTAATGAAATGTTTAAATAAAACCTTTCTCTTTTCATCACATACCTTATTTTAGACCCAGTGATGTCATCACTGAGTCTCTGTGCCTCTCTATGCAATGCCGGCAGATCATGGTTAGTGGTAGGAAACAGCAGGGTGCTGTACATAACTTCCTGAAAGCATCACATCACACTGCTTCAGTACTTGTTTTAGGAGCTTTGAGCTTTGGTGCAAGCAGTGGTCTGGCTCCTGGGAGGAGTTATGCAAATATCTGAAATCCTGTGAATGAATGAAAGAGAAGGGAAAACACAGTAAGGCTGGAAAAGTAGTGCTAGATGATGCTGGACGTCCTTCAATCAGGAATTAAGGCAGTCTCTGTCTGACTTGCTGCAGCTTCTAAAGCACACTGTGAGACTCACAGTGCATAGTAAAATCAGAGTTAGCAATTTCAGTACAGGTGAGAGGCTGGAGTTCAGGGTACAATATTTGTACATAAAGCATACCTTAAGCAAAAGCTTTTTTTTGCATTTTGGTAGTGAAGATTTTTGCCATCTATTTTCAAAAATTTGGGGAAAATTTGTTTAGGAAATTTGATTTCATGCCCTGTCCTGTTGACACAACAGGACGCAAGAGCAAAACTTTCCAAAGTGAGGGAAATCCCCTCTTTGAGAATTCTCAGTGTGTCCCTACTGGAGATTTCCCCTCTTTTCCTGTTCTGGGGAGAATTCAGAGTGTTAGATTTTAATTTCCTTTCAATTCTGGTGACAGTATTGATAGTGACAAACAGAGTGAAAATTGCCCTAACAGAGAATAAAGCAATAAAATCCTGATGGGCTCTAATGACCCTTCGCTCTATTCAAAATGTAGAGGAAAAAGTTTGGGCTTTAAAAATACTTTATTTCTTTAATACTTCATTTATTTATTTATTTATTTATGGTTAATAATGGTTTCATAAATGGTTCATAATGGAAGTTTGTTTCTTACCAGCAGTTAGGAGGCTTGCTAGATAGGATGGGATTGTGCAGTAATAGAACTAGGACGTTAAAAGCCCCATGCAATGCTAAAGTAATCAAACAGGAGAAATGTTCTGTTGAACCAACATAGCTTGCCTCATTTTCCTTAGTAATCCTCCTTTCTCAGACTTAATGGACTATGTTTGATGACTTTACAGCTACCCTAAAACAGAGAGCTGACATAAACTGTCAAATGTCCAATTGTTTCCCCCCTAGGCTCTGAAGAGAAAACAAATCTGGAGCTCATTATTCTGGTTGGCACTGGCGTGATTGCCTTGTTCTTTTGGATGCTACTTGTAATCATCCTCCGGACCGTAAAGAGGGTAATGATTCAAGATTCTCTACTGTCCATCAGTATTTGCTTGGCATGACAAATGAAAACTGACTGCAAGCCCTTTGTTTCAAGTCCTTGTCATTGTACTTATGTCAACAGACACATTTTCCCTTTCAATGCCATCAAACTGTTCCATGATTTACTAAAGATGTATTAATTTGGTTTTAATTGCAATTGCCCTTAAAGAAAACATTCCTGGGCATTCTTTTCTTGTAATGAAGAAAGAAATTAATTATGATCCGTGTGAACACTCCTGCTGATCTCTGCTTCTTCAGCATTATACAGTAGGGGCACAAAACGGAATTATTTTGTCATTTATTTCACTGTTATGGAAAGTTGACCAGATGTGTTGTGTGTTTCCAGCCCAATGAAGGGGAACTCAAGGCTGGCTATTTATCTATAATTATGGACCCTGGTGAAGTGCCGCTTGATGAGCAATGTGAAAGACTACTCTATGACTCAGCAAAATGGGAGTTTCCAAGAGATCGCCTCAAATTAGGTAGGATATTGTTATTAAAGTGATTGCAAAGGGATTTTTAAAAAATAGATATGTTATATTTACCTGCTCTCTGCAATCGTTTTGCAAAGAGCAGCCCAGATCCTCTTTTTTCTTGGGTCCCCTGCCTTCTGAGTGACACATAACAATGGGGCACATATGTGTTCTTGATATCGAAGAGTGCTCTGTGTGTCCATTTAGACACAGAGCACAGCTTTGCCACACCCCTGCTGTCCTCAAATTAATTGCATGACAGCAGCGGGAGCCAATGACTCCCACTGCTGCCTCCATGGCCAGTGGGGAGTGAGCCAGAGCAATCTGGCACAGTGCTGGGTCGAGTTCAGGCTCAGGTAAGTAAAGGGGGGGGGGGGTGTACAGAAGGTTTTTTTACCTTAATGAAGAGAATGCATTAAGATGAAAAAAACCTTCTACCTTTATAGCCACTTTAATATTACTTACTACAACTATCCAATAATGGCATAATAATATTGTAAAAAAATATTATCTGTATAATTCTTGCCCATCAGAGAAGTTTATACTCTGATGTCCACAATAAGCCAAATCTCTTGGAAAAAAAGAACACACAAACATGGGAACATATCCAAATATTAGGCTGGCCATAGGTGGATGAATTTCCCCATCCCCTCATTTGAGATGGGTGAAGGAATCCTCCCAGCTGTGTTATTGTATTCTGACAGTGGGACTCCTCTGCTATCAAAATACACTCATAAGCGCTGCAGCACCGATCAAAAGAAAAATTTCCCTCATTCCCATTCAAAAGAAGTCGGGCTTCTTTCTAACAGGAACAGCCATAGATGGATCGAAATTTGGCTGGTCCCTGCTGAATTGGACAAATTTTGATCCATCTATGTCCAGTTTTACTGTGTTTGATTGGTTCGATAGAATTTAATGACAAGTGACATGATTTTCAGTAACATTTAGCAGATTTAGTTTCCATTTACATTGCAGCCTAACAACCACTTTAAGTCTGAGTTAGAAATGATATTTATGAAATACAACACTATACACAATGTTCTTTGCTTTTATATCAAGTTAAGTATACACACCGTGGGGCTGATTTACTAAAGGAGTACAGGCTGTTCACTTACTAAAGTGCATGTTAACTTTAAAACGTGTATGTTCATTCAAGTGAATGATAGTTAATAAGGTGAATCTGTTGAATTATGTTCAAGAACAAGATTTTTGCAGCATATAATTGGTTGATTAAAGTATACATATCATTATCTTATTTACTAAGCTCAATGAACATTCACTTTCCTGAGCCAATAATCTATTATCCTTTAGTAAATGAATTCCACTGTTCATATCAGATTCTTTAAACAGTGATACCTCTTAGACCACATTGCTATCCATTTCAGAGCTATGAGTCTATCCCACAAACAACCGATTCAGCATTTATTCCTGTTTTACTAAAGATGTAAAGATTCATGACTTGGATTCATTATTTTTTTATGACATTTACTCTGAAATGTATATTTCCGTTGAAATCCTTCCTTATAATGAATTCTCATTTATAATATCTTGCATTACACAGGGAAACCCCTTGGTCGTGGGGCTTTTGGGCAAGTTGTGGAAGCTGATGCCTTTGGAATCGATACAACTGGCACTTGCAAAACTGTTGCAGTGAAAATGCTGAAAGGTAAATTTGAAGTTCACAACCGATCTTAACAAATTGTTGGCTTGTTTATATTTTTATGACGGTATGTTTGTTTTAACAGAGGGAGCAACTGATAGTGAATACAGAGCATTGATGTCAGAATTAAAAATCCTCAGTCACATTGGTCATCATCTGAATGTTGTGAACTTGCTTGGGGCCTGCACTAAACTAGGAGGTAAGGACACCTCATTCTGTCTACCAGCTTTCTAGTTTTTTCATATCCTTCTCCATGCTTATTATTATAAATAAGGGGAAATCCTACCCAACGGGTACACAGGTATATAAGCATACAAAGTTTCAAAGTCTTTTCCTCCCCACCCAAATCAAATACAAACATTTTACCTGGAATTCCATTTTAACGTCAATTATTTTAAAACTTCCCTTCTATAATTGGATATGCCACAAGCTAGGTTGGATCACTTCAAAAACCACCACTGAAGTCAGCCATATAGACTAGACTTTGTTGGATTTCTTTAAAGCTTCAAAGATTGCAAAGTACTCTCACAATTCATGTTTGCAGGTTTTATCTAATATTTATAGACTATTTCCTATATAATTTATTTTTAGCATGTTTCTTTTTATGGTCTGGAGAAGTAGGTACCTGGCAGGAGGGGATGAGGTTGTCTGAATGGGGGGCAGATTGGAGGTAAACAAATACAAAAAAAAGTTTAATTTTCTTTCCCACAGGTCCACTGATGGTAATTGTTGAATACTGCCAATTTGGAAACCTCTCTGCATATTTAAGAAGTAAAAGGAATGACTTTGTTCTGTACAAGGTATTTATAAGTTAATGAAACACACAACATGTTCTTTTAATCATTAAATATGTTTACATTCCTAAGTGTTTTAAACATATTGTACTGAATTGCTGTAGATGGAGTGCTGTTTGACCTCCTTCCTGTCTCCGCCGTCTGATCCCACGGACAAGAGGCAGAATGTTGTTACACATAAAAAACGTACACATAAATGCAGCCTTAACACTGGGTAGCAGTATACATTTTGACATATCAATGTGTCTACATATAAGCAGAAAGAGTATCTGTTCCATTAGCAAAACATTTTAACCAGATCAAGTCATGTTCACTAATTTCTATTCTGGTCTAACTACATCATTCTGGTAAATACATATTAAACCAAATTTAATGCCAGAAATCATCCTATCTGCAGAGGGGAAAAAAATATCTGGATGTATAGCCAGGATGTTTTTGGGTGCTTACAATAGTACAAGAAATAAACAAGGCCTAAATTTTGAGTGTGATGTGCCATATTTTTATGGGTCAGACTTGTCTTAGTATGGGTATGGATAAAAAACTATATATAAATATTTTTTTATTATTATTTATTGATAAGATTAAGGTTTTTTTTTAAGAAATATGATATTAGTGTTGAATGAAATATTATACTGTTTTGGGATTCTACTCTTACAAGAATTTTTTGATTGATTTCTACAATATAAATTCCCTCCAACTCAAATGCCACCCATCTGTGATAAAGATGCTTTGAGTGCCATAGAGAGTGGGGCTGCACAGCGAGTGCATGGAAATATGAATAATGCTTCAAGCACAAGAAGTAGTGCTGTGCAGTTGAGTTTGTTACTCCTGGTTTTTGTACTGGTCCTGTTTAGCATGCACCTGTGGACTTGCTTGGCCAGATATTATACATAGACTAAATATGGATCGAAATTTGGACATTTCAGCAGGGACTGGCCAGATTTCGATCCATGTGTGGCCACTGTGGTTGAACAGAATTTAATCTAGTGATCATCTTCTGTTCAACTGCCCTGTTGGTATACTTTCCTTTGATCAGTGCCATAGGCAATAGAATGCAGTGCTGATCTGTGTATTCTGGCATTCCCCACTGTCAGAATACAATGGCACAATAAGTAGGATTCCCGCTTACAAATCAAATGTGTTGATGGGGGATTAGGGTCAGTTTTTTTCTATTCATCCTGCTGGCTGAATGAAAAAAGTGACCCACGTATGGCCAGCCTACAATTACAGGTAAGCTCTTGCTGATTGCCTTTAAGTATGATTTTGGATTGTGGAGCAAAAACAGTATGTACAAAGGCAACATTTAAATTCCATGAAACCTGCTTTCAACTTGGCCAGCATGTTGTCCACATATTCTTCCATTTACTTAGTAATAGAATATGCTCTGAACAGCATACTTCAGTGAAACTTAGTGAAAGGTGCAGACCATAGAAATGTAGCTGAATATTCAAAAGCTGAAAGCCGCATTCTCTGCTGACTGACAAGCTTATATTTTCCTGTTTTGAAGACCAAGTCTGTGAGGTACAGACAGGCCAAACAGCACTATGTGGAAACACCCAGAGATCTGAAGAAGAGACTGGACAGTATTGCCAGCAGCCAGAGCTCAGCAAGCTCTGGTTTTGCAGAAGAGAAATCTCTGAGTGATGTGGAGGAAGAAGAAGGTAGGACATTTATATTTAGTGAGGCATAACATTTTTTATATTCAATTTTTAAACCTTCAGATTGATGTAAATACTCTGTGGCCCGTTGTAGAGTATTTACATCTGTAAAAAAGAGTCCATACATATTAATTCCTTCAGGACACATGAGGCAGAGGTCTCAAAGTTTACAATATTAATAGTTTTCTTTCAAAATGAGAGATTGTCAGCAGCATGCAGTTTCTAATGGGATTTTATCTATTCTAAGTTGAAGAGGTTTGCAAGAACCAGCTCAGCATGGAGGACCTCATCTCATACAGCTTCCAGGTGGCCCGTGGCATGGAGTTTATGGCCTCACGTAAAGTAGGTGCTTCTTTTTTTGTGAGAACTTAAAGCAAAAAAGTAACTGGATAATTGGTTTACAGTGTATTTCTGAATGTTAAAGAACTGGACACAAATATCTGATCCCTCAAAAAGGTCACCATAATGGCAATTTCAGCCACAGGCAAATTTGAATGCAGACAAATGATTTATAAAAATAGCCAAATTGTATTATTATATTAAAATTCAACTGGAATATACTGATGGCACACTCATCGCCTCACTATTTGTGTTGCTGCATCTTCTGTTGGTATTGGAAGATTCCATATAAAATGGGGCTAACATAAAATTTTCACAGGTACAGTATCATGAACAGTGATGAGAACGCCAGAAAGATGTTACGCTGAAAATGCTCTTTTACCTTCTTCCCAAACTAAATAAAGTATATCTAAAGCCAAAGCTTTCTTTGAGATTAGATTATGAAATAGTTAAAACCATTACTTTTTTGTGGTCTGTGTCCCATTAGGGTCTGTGTACCATGAAACAACAGAATGCGATGGGAGATATCTCTTCTGATAACAACTGTAAATTATTGAATTTTCCATCATTCTTTATATCAATACAAATAGAGATCCAATTACTAAAGGATCAGAACATGTTCACTTCATAAAGTGAATTTTTGCTTTTCAGGAGAATGTTTATTCAACTATGTAAATGTGGAGAAAATTCACTTTGCAATGAATACCCAAGGAAAATGAACTAAAAACAGGATATTGATTGCACATGATTGGTTGATTGAAGCCAGCACAGCTTCATTTATGAGACAAGCTAAATGAAAATTCCCTTGCAAAGTGAAAAATAGCCTTATCAGACTACAATAAAAACCCAACAGTGTTCTAACTCTTTCCTGACTTCTTCTTTTTTATGGTTTACATATACTTTAATAGACATACATGAAAGTCTTCCTTAAACTGACATAAAACATGCTATTGCAACAAAATATCTGCTAAAACATATTTTTTTTTTGAAATATGAAGTTGTAAACACAAATAGTTTAATACTCAGTGCTGCTGTTTTTACAGTGCATTCATCGGGATTTGGCAGCTCGTAATATACTTCTGGCTGACAACAACGTGGTCAAAATCTGCGACTTTGGCTTGGCACGTGATGTCTATAAAGATCCAGATTATGTACGGAAAGGGGATGTAAGTAATTAGAGTTTTAGAATCTTAAATCTTTTTCTAGTGTTATCTTGTTTTTCATTATTTGCTACTAACTACTCAACTCCTCCTGAAGGCCCGGCTTCCTCTCAAATGGATGGCGCCAGAGACCATTTTTGACAGAGTCTACACAACACAAAGCGATGTGTGGTCATTTGGGGTCTTGCTATGGGAAATCTTCTCATTAGGTGAGTCACACATATATATTTCTGCCTTAATGGAGGAAAATAAATGTACAGGAAATCCGTATGTTAGTCTGACCATGATGCCACTTCTTAATGATTCATCATAGCAGTTGCTGGATATAGTCAACCATTATTTATTTATTTTTGTAGTCCTTTATAAATAATTTTCTTTTGTATTGGCTAATTGGAATAAGTTGAACCAACTCCAGCCTTTAACTTCTTGCCGACCAGCCACTGTAGAAATACGGTGGCAGGGCGGCATAGCTGCGCAAAACCACGTTTTAAAACGTGATTTTGTAAAACAGGTATGGGGCACGCACGAGGCGCGCCACTGCCCTACCTGCGCCGCCAATCGCGGCCGCAGGTGTCAGTCACCGGGTCACGGCCGGTCATTACCTGCTGTGTCCCGGCGATTACCGGCAATCACTGACAGAGAGCACGGCTGCAGTGTTTACACTGCAGCTGTGCTTTCTGTCAGTTCGCTGTCAGCTCCTTACATGCTAATCCGGAGAGAAGAGTTTATATCTCCGGATCAGCGTGTTCCCGTGCTGATCGCCGCCATAAGTCACTGATCGCCGCCATTATTAGTATAAAAAAAATTAAAATCCCAGTATCTTTCCCGCCATTTGTAAACGCTATAACTTTCACATAAACCAATTAATTTACACGTATTGGGTTTTTTTTTAGCAAACACGTCGCAGAATGCATTTTGGCTGAAATTTATGCCGAAATTTGATTTTTAAATTATTTTTACTGGACATGTTTTATAGCAAAAAGTCCAAAATATAGTTTTTTTTTCTCAAAATTGTTAGCTTTTTTTTTATAGCGCAAAAAATAAAAACGCACAGGCAATCAAATACCACCGAAAGAAAGCTCTATTTGTGTGAAAAAAAGGACATAAATTTCATTTATGTACCGTATTGCATGACCGCGCAATTGTCCATTAAACTAGCACAGTGCTGTATAGCAAAAAAATGGTGTAAATTTCAATATCTATACCATAGTTTGTAGACGCTATAACTTTCACACAAAGCAATCAATATACACTTATTGGGATTTTTTTTTACCAAAAAATACATTTTAGCCTAAATGTATAACTAACTTTGAGTTTACTATATATTTTTTATAACTGAAAGTAAAAAATATTGTTTTTTTTTCAAAATTTTCGGTCTTTTTTTGTTTATAGTGTGAAAAATAAAAAGCACACAGGTGATCAAATACCAACGAAAGAAAGCTCTATTTGTGTGAAAAAAGGACATAAATTTCGTTTGGGTGCAGCATTGCATGACAGCGCAATTATCAGTTGAATTAGTGCAGCGCCGAGTAACAAAAAGAGGCCTGGTCATTAAGGGGGGTAAATCCTCAGGAGCGCAAGTTGTTAAGAGTCATTATTACTGTATTATTATTATTATCATCATTATTATTATATTAGTGCTGTCACAAATAATGCTTTTGTTTTTTTTTCTGTGCACTAAAGTGCATTGAGATCCCATTTAAAAGGAATAGATTCCCTTAACACAATGCACATTAACAAATGAAAAAAAAATGCATTTACGCAACACAACACTTTGAATGGGTCCTAAATGACCAACATCTTTCTTTTAGGTGGATCCCCATATCCTGGTGTCCAGATTGATGAAGATTTCTGCAGAAGGTTAAAAGAGGGGACACGGATGAGAGCTCCAGATTACGCAACTGTGGAAATGTAAGTCACCCACACAGCAGAAGGAACATCAGGTAGACCTAACAGTAAAAAAGGGTTTAACCTACTGACTTGATTTTTTCGCACCAGATATCAAACAATGCTGGACTGCTGGCAGGGGGATCCCTTACAGAGACCTACCTTTACTGAACTAGTGGAACATCTGGGAAATGTTTTGCAAAGAAATGTGCAATTGGTAAATATTTTTCTCTTGTTTTCGCCTCGCTTCAGCATAATTCCAAAAATAATCAATAACATTCAAAAACATAATTTAGTGAAGCTTAGGACTATACTATGTGCCATTTGTTTCCATTTTTATTCTTAGGATGGAAAAGACTACGTTCCAATATTAGTGACTTTGAACATCGAAGAAGATTCGGGTCTCTCAATGCCGACCTCACCTGTTTCCTGTATGGAAGGAGAGGAAATGTGTGATGCAAAATTCCACTATGACAGCTCCGCCGGAATACGGTACTGACCTAATTATAACCTGTATTTCCTACAAACATGACATATGTTGCAGAGTATTTTTTCATGTCTAGAATTTTCATTGCTGCCTCTTGTTTGGAAGAAAAACACAAAAGTCACAAAAAGATTATATTAAAGTGGTAGTAAAGTCTTTTTTTTAACTTGTACCTACAGCTAAGCCTATAATAAGGCTTTCCTGTAGGCACAGTGAATATCTCCTAAACGTGCACAGTTTAGGAGATATTCACACTGCATGCAGCCGGTGACAGCACCAGTGCATGCGCTCTGAAGGGACAGAATACCTGTGCCGCTCCTTCAGAACTCCATGCCACAGCTGAAACTTCTGTGCACATGTGCGGGAGTATCCTCATCGCGGCTCGGCTAGTCAGGAGGCCGGAGCACACGAATCCAAAAGGAAGACCGGGTGAAAATGGAAGCCCTGTCAGCGGTGACAGCGTGCCGCTAGTGGGCTTCGATCTAAGATATGTATTTCATAATGTGCTAGTATGTGATGCATACTATGCCATTGTCTGGGAGGTTGAAAAAAAAGGCAGCGGTTTACTATCACTTTAACCTCCCTGGCGGTATTCCCGAGTGTAGCTCGGGGCAAACTTTCAGTACCAAAAGCGGTAACCCCGAGCTACACTCAGGATTACCCTGCAGCATTACTCCGGGATCCCTTTTTCACTTACCTTGTCCTGCGCTCCCGCGATGTCCCCCATGCAGTGTCCCCGGCCATCTCCTCCGGCTGATGCCGGCATCCGCCTTCCAGGTTCCGTTCCGTATGGACGTATCCATACGGAACGGGACGTATGGGACATACGGAGGACTGAACCGGCGAGAAATTCAACAATTTTAAAAGTGACATTCACGCAATACACTAAAATCACATAGTAAAACATTACTGTATCAAAGCATTTCACATACATTTTGTCCCTAGTGCTTTGTCCTGTGCCCTGCCTGCATTTTTACTGTTCTTTCTGCCTGGAAACTGAGACACGTCCATGGCGTCCAAAAAACGTCCCTTTAGTTCAAAAGCGGTTTTAGACCAGCTAGAGAACAGCGATAGTAAATTAGAACCACTTTCAGAATTGAGTGATAATGATTCGTGGGGAAATTCGTCATCAGACACTGAAAACGATTTTGCGTCGAAGCTCAGTGATGTGCAAACTTGGCGCTCTATTTCAAATTTCAGTGTTTTTGGTTTGATTACATTATTGAATTAAATGTATTATTAATATTTTATTATTTTTTATGATTATCTATTATATTATAATTTATGATTTTGTGTTTCATATTTTATCATACCCGGGATGTTTACTAGACTCTTGTTTGGACAGATTTCAGTGAGTTATTCCTAAAAATTACAGGCCTACAATAAAAAAAAACAACATATTTCCATGCAAAAACATGTACCGCTTTGAGCACAGAAATATTGACATAATCATACCGCTAGGGAGGTTAAAGCCTGACTTTAGCTAAAACTTTTTATTTTATTTTGCAAAGACTGTGGACCAGTTAGAGCAGGGGTGTCCAAACTTTTTTCAAAGAGGGCCAGATTGGATGAAGTGAACATGGTGGAGGGCCGAACATTTTTCCGAACATTCTTTGAACCATTACAATTAAATGCAAATAAATTATTTTATGCCAAGTTAATTGCAAACGACATACTTTTTCATTTCATAACATTAAGATCAACTGACAGCTGAGTTTTCACAATGTATTGAAAATAAATTAAAAAAAAAACTTACCTGCACTAATGTGAAGGGTGAAAAAGGTAGCTGGAGCTGAAGTCTCTGTTCGGCAGCCGGGAGGGGAAGAGAAACACACTTCAAGCTGGAAGCCCGGCCCTGACGTCACCGCCCTCTGTCGCTCCCAGCGCGGCGCAGTCACGCATGCGCACTGCTCTCAAGCAGATGACTGTCTGCCACAGAAGGGAGGACCATGCGACAGCCGCATTTACACAGACCAGGGAGAATGCGCCGCAGTCAGGCATGCGCACTGCCCTCTGCTCTCAAGCAGAAGACTGTCTGCCATAGAAGGGAGGGCCGTGGGAGGGCCACATTACACAGAGCAGGGAGGGCTGTTGGAGGGCCGTATTAAACCGACCCCGGGCCGTAAATGGCCCGCGGGCCGGACTTTGGACATGCCTGCATTAGATCATCATGACAGAAAGGAGACCTGCATTTTCAGGGACGTCAACAATAGTAGCCTACTTAGAGCCCCAATGCAAATGATCTTTAAAGCCTAGCTACAGCCATTTTTCCACTTTAGGACAGATTATGGAACAGTTAAAACTTTTGTCATGATTTTATTTCTGTCTGTGATCCCGCTAAAGAGTTCATCCTTCACTCACTATGGATGTTACATGCTTACAAAAAATAAAAGGGCTGTTATCACAAGTATAATGAGGCACGGACATCATTAAAAGCTAGGTCAGAATTTCTAACCTCTTTCCACTAATGTTGGAGGAAATCCCTTCAACAGAAACACAAACAGTAATACAAACATGACAGAGGCTCTAACTCAGGCATGTCCAAAGTCCGGCCCGTGGGCCATTTACGGCCCGGGGGTCGGTTTAATACGGCCCTCCAACAGCCCTCCCTGGTCTGTGTAATGTGGCCCTCCCACGGCCCTCCCTTCTATGGCAGACAGTCTTCTGCTTGAGAGCAGAGGGCAGTGCGCATGCCTGACTGCGGCGCATTCTCCCTGGTCTGTGTAAATGCGGCTGTCGCATGGCCCTCCCTTCTGTGGCAGACAGTCATCTGCTTGAGAGCAGTGCGCATGCGTGACTGCGCCGCGCTGGGAGCGACAGAGGGCGGTGACGTCAGGGCCGGGCTTCCAGCATGAAGTGTGTTTCTCTTCCCCTCCCGGCTGCCGAGCAGAGACTTCAGCTCCAGCTACCTTTTTCACCCTTCACATTAGTGCAGGTAAGTTTTTTTTAAATTTATTTTCAATACATTGTGAAAACTCAGCTGTCAGTTGATCTTAATGTTATGAAATGAAAAAGTATGTCGTTTGCAATTAACTTGGCATAAAATAATTTATTTGCATTTAATTGTAATGGTTCAAAGAATGTTCGTAAAAATGTTCGGCCCTCCACCATGTTCACTTCATCCAATCTGGCCCTCTTTGAAAAAAGTTTGGACACCCCTGATCTAATGGCTTCAATACTTTGGGAGCCATCGAACTAGGACAGAGGACAAAAATGTGGCTTAGGTGGACTGTTGTCATTTTGAGTTTTGTGGACTGAATTTGTCTCCTACTTCCCATCCCCATGACTATACCTTCATAACGTTCTGTTTTATGATCATGCACAATGTGGAGGCAACAGCAGATCATATTTTGTTTGCATTGTAATCACTCTTATAAAATATATTTAACATCATTTATTATCTACAGAATAATCCAAAACACAAAGAGAAATAGCCGGCCTGTCAGTGTGAAGACGTTTGAGGATATCCCTGTAGAGCCTGCAGTGAGAGTAGCCCCTGATGTAAGGATGATTAGTATTGGCTGCAGGCTGGTTATTATATTACAGCATTCTTTGAATTTTCTACCAAGTATTAAACATGTTGTTCATATTTTAGGACAACCAAACAGATAGTGGGATGATACTTGCATCGGAAGAGTTGAGGACATTGGAGAACACGCAAAAGTAAGCACAGTTATTTAGGTAGATGAAATGGCTTTTATTTGGCCTCTTTTTTCACTTTTATTCAGTAAGAACTGTTCTGTATTTCTGCACATTTACAAGCTGAATTGGTGGTTTTTAGGCAACGTGAAACAGTTCTTACTTAACACCAATGAAAAGACCAATTAAAATGATCAATATAATATGATTTATTTGACCTGCTTTTAAATGTTATCATTATATGTGAATATACTGTAATTATACTGAATAAACTGTTATTGTCTATAACTGTGCATAGTAAATTACTATAACAAATAATGTAAGGCCCTTAACAGTCAATAAAGTTGTATTTTTGATTTTCCCAGTTGAGGATTGACAAGTGAAAAAGAATCTTTTCTTTGAACATGTATCAGTTGCTTTATGTATTCCTTGATCTATTTCAGTTCAGGCCCAATTCTAGCTGTAAGCATGTCCTTTCCCAGTCAGATGTTTTCAAGCAGCGAAACTAGTTTTAACGTTCCTGGTGAATGAAGGGATTACAATATCTGTCTAGCCAAAACTAATAATTTCGTTTTTGCTATTTGCTGTAGTGTTAATTTCCTCCCTTATATCTCTTAGGGACTCTATTTGTGAGATCTCTATTTTAGTTCCGAGGTCTGCACACCTTTTGTGCCCTTTATTTATTTGATATTTTAAAAAATACAGCAGGCAATGCTGGAACAAGCAAAGCTGGACTGGAACACACAAATTTCCCAGTTGGACAGAAACAGAACAACATGGAGTATGAGATCACTCAACCTCCTCCACCCAATGCAGATTGTTCTGGACATCAGTGCAGAACTCTGACTCCTGCCAGCCATCAGTGGAAGTACATTGATGAAAAGAGTAGGCGCCTGATCACAGATCCTTCAGCAAAAAGCTTATTGATACTCATCTAAAATAAGTCTTTACAAAATCTAACATGTTTTTGTCTTGTATTTGTAACTGTGTGACACTCTTTTGATTGATGGACAGACAGGATTGATGGGCAGTTACAGGATAACCTTGCTGTTCGTGTATCTAAGACATAGGGGGGTTGATGTACTAAAACTGAAGAAAGCAAAATCTGGTTGCAGCAATGCATGGTAGCCAATCAGCTTCTAACTTCAAATATAAATAGAATAAAGCGAGCGCTCATCAAATAAAATGTATAAAGCAGCTAAAACACTTGAGGGAATCACAACAGCCTCATGTTCTGACAAATAAAAGTAAAGTGCAGCGCTAAAAAGGATCAACATCAAAAAGTTTGTTCAAAAAAGTTTGTGCAGAGAAAATAAATATATATAGATGTGCAAAACCAATCAGGTAATCCCACAGCTGTAAATATTTCAAACGGCTTGTGACAGAGGGTATGGCAAAAATGCGCACTCACCGACCGCGCATAGGAAATGCGCATATAATATCCATCAATCAGGACATAGTCATGTTGGGTGCAGAGTCCCTCATGGTAAACTGCAGCAGAACCGGATTGGCTCAGTGTGCTGTCCCTCCTCCAGTAGGAGTGCTGCGTGCAGGTGACAGGTGCGGGATGAGCTCCGCCGCTCCGGACTGACTCAGGATCTGCGCTCAGCCTGACAGCTTCTAACTTCAGTTTGCTTAATTAAGTTTTGACAAAAAAAATAAGTTGGTTGGTTTCTATGCAGAGCTGCACCAGATTTTGCACTCTCCAGTTTTAGTAAGTAAACCCCATATTGTATTAAGCCAGGGGCTCACTTAGCCCACCTGGATCCAACTTTGGCTAAAATATCAGTTTTGGTAGACTGACACTTTACAAAAAAATAATAAATGCACATATTTTTGCAGGAAAAAAATGTGCATTTATTTTTTTTTTTTTTTGCAAATCAGCCTGCAAAGCATTGCACCAGTGGTGGATTGTGGGTGCAAAGCCTCCTGCAGATTCTTCCTCCATACCCAGGTAAGGACTTTCAGTTAGAGAGCTGGAGGAAGTGTGGTGATCATATTTGCACCATGTCACCCCTTAAATATGGGTGTAACATGTAACATGGTGAAAAAGTCTTCAACTCCTAGGCAGCAAGTTTTCCTACATTGAATAAAATCTCTAAAAATGTTGACTGTTTTCCATAAAAAAATTAAATCCTTTCACTGTGCACGAGTTTCAGCAGCATATAGTCAGCTGCCTTTTTGTGGCTAACATAAATCTGTAGTTTTTAAATGCTTGGACTCAGATGATGGCCATTCATATTTTGACTCTCAGCCTGGGTTCACATATATGCGGTGCGGAATATCGCATGTGATTCGTACAGGAACCGCACTGCGTTCCTGTGCAAATCACATGCGATTTTTGTGCGGTGCAATTGGAGCCACACATTATGTATGGCTCTATTCTCACCGCACCCGCACCAAAAAGGTGCAGGACCCTTTTTTGGTCTGCATTAGAATCAGATCGCATGGGTATTCACACCTATGCGATCCGATTCTGCACATCGCAACACACGTTTTGCGGAACGCTTTCGGGGTGTTGTTAACTTAACATACACACCCGCAGCGGTTCGCATGAACGGGGTGCGATTCTGATGCAGTGCGGAATTTGCACAGAAACCGCTGTGAATTCCGCACCGCATCAGTGTGAACCAGGGCTTACTTTAGTAAATGTTTGAGTTAATTTTTATGCTTGCAATGGCCTACCAGTATCATTGAAAATATGAAAAGTTAAAACATGAATATTACATTTTGTGTGTTTTGTTTTACTATTTATCTATTTGTCTATGCTAATGTGCATCTAGGTGTTGTGTCTCCATCTCTCAAATGTTTACTAGAAATTGTAGGGAATATATTGTCTCACTGAACAGTTTTGCATAGAAATCCTGCAATGTACCACAGACAGCATCAGTATCAGTATATGTCATACCCAGGCCCTAGCTGTGACAATATTAATTATGCTAAAAGCTGTATTTATATCTATAATAATTGTTATGGTCTTACCACTCAATAAAGTAGCTTTGCTCAGTTTACTGATGTAGTAATTTTGGCCATAGCACACTGTTTAATAAACCTGAACAGCATTTACAATTACTGTATTTCTAATTAATTTTAGTATTCTGATGCCAAGTAAAAGCAAAGAATCAGTCACATCAGGATCCTCAAATCAAACCAGTGAGTACCAGTCGGGATACCACTCAGATGACACAGAAACTGCACATGACACCAATGAAAAAACGCAGCTGCTAAAAAGGGGGAGTTCACTTGAGATCTACTACAGGGAGACAAAACCACACCAAGCTGTTATCGAACTGAGCACTGAGGTATAGACACTCAGAACTATTAACATCACACCATGCACTAATAGAGACTGAAATTATGGAAATCTGCTCTGCATCAACACCACTGGAGGACAGAATTTCAGTTCTCTGCAGAACTAGGTCCCCTGGATGTTTCAGTACCAGGTCAGGAATGGCTTTGCCTCAAAAGTATGGACATTTATATATTTTTATACTGTTCAAGAAACAGGGTATGAATCATTGGGAGCCACATGCCACATCTGGACGTTGAGTGACTCACAACTAGATTTCCTGAAGACTAGTGAAGCTGGTAGTGTACGTGTATGCCTTCTATTAATGCCAAACTTGGAGAAGATCAACAGTTGTTAACAACTGTATGGATTTATAAACAGGCTCAACTGGACCATCACTGATGGAGCTGTACTGGGTTCCATGGAAACCTAAATATGATAATAATGTTATATGCAGACATTTGAATGTTATTGAATATGTAATTGTACAGTATACCTGATTACAGATATGCCACATCTATTCCAGCATTCAATGGATACATATTACAATACTGTGTATCCTGTTTTTAAGACAATTGCAGAAAATGGTTTCATATCTGAAACAAAATAAACCTCAGTTTGTGGCTCTATCTGAAGCCTCCTTTGATGGCTTGATATCTGTGCTGTAAAACTGAGATCAACCTTGAGCCGTGAAACACTTATTTTATGCAAAGCCTGTTGCCACCTGTTGCTGTCAGTCTACATGAAACTTTGAAAATCTAATTTTGACTGAGTAGTGCAGTCAAAGGTTCACCATTGATCTCAGTTGTTGAATTAGCCCAATTGTATGTCATCTGAAGAACAGGAGTCAATGAATTATACACTGGCTACATGCTATATATCAGTTGCCAAAGCTTTGTCTATTAATAATGTTTTCTGTCTGTGCAATCTGTGTTGTAATAATACACAATAGGGCTGATTTAGTAAAACTGGAGAGTACAAAATTTGGTGCAGCTCTGCGGAGAATCCCATCAGCTTCCAGTTTTTTTTGTCAAAGCTTAATTGAACAAGATGAATTTAGAAGCTGATTGGCTACAATTCACAGCTGCACCAGATTTTGCACTCTCCAGTTTTAGTAAATCAACCCCAATAAGGCAATAACAGAGATGTAAGATATAGCAATAACTCTGCAGTAACCGTTTTGTTTGCTGTTTTCAGAAATACAAACACCTGGCACCTTAAATACTATGCAAACTCAGTTTTTACAGATTTAAAAGTCTAAATATGTGTGTATCACCCATTATGCACCACTTTTTACCATCACCGAGAACCTCCTTGGGTGTCATTGGATACTGTCACAATACAGGGCAATACAAACAGTTCAACATTTAAATATGTACAGTCAGTACTAAACTGAGACCTGTGCCTTTTTTTTCAGTCACACTCTTAAGGGTTGATTTACAAAAGGGCTAGAGCATTTTTATAGTGAAGATTCACTTTGCAAAGAATACCCAATCAAGTGCAAAGAAAATTAAAAACAGAGGATTGTTTACTCGTACACGATTGGATAATTTAAGTCAGCAGAGCTTCATCTTATTCACTTAGCCAGCTTTTTTCAACCAGGGTGTTTAGGCACCCTGGGGTACCCTCAGATGTCTTTAGGGGTGCCTTGGCAAAACGCCTAAAAATTGTCCAAAAATTGCACACAAGGAGATGAATCAGCCCACCTTTTAGTGACACAAAGCCACAGGTTTTTGTGCACTACTACAACCTTTTAGCCGCCAGTAACCTAAAAACCAATGCTGTCGGAGTTGATAATGAGGACATTTGGATATGCACAGAATCTTTGTTAGCTCCTTCTCTGCCCCTCTCCATCATCACTTGGGTCACGTTATCTGAGTGAAGGAGAGAAACTGAGGCAGAAAAGAAACATTGGAATACTAGTCAGTACCAGTGTACAAAGGTGTATTTGCTTTGAAAGAATAAACAATCACTTCTAATATCGGGTGTCCTACATGTGTGGATGTTGCTGTGGTATCTAAAACTGTAAGTTTTGTTTTTTAAATTTTGGAATGGGGAGATTGTGCAGAATTTAAAGGGTGCCTTGACTGAAAAAATGTTGAGAAACACTGCACTAATTCATTGAAAACGTCCACTGAAAATGAAAATTCACTTTGCTAAGTGAACAGTCTACACTCCTTTATTAAATCAACCCAACAGACACACACAAACACATACCTATCAGAAGTAAAATGAACACTAACACAGATCAATATATTGTATATATCTTGTAATTATTTTCATGTAAAGGCAATAAGAACACGCTGTTGTACTTATTTATAGTGCAACAGAGTGGAAATAAGTGTAATATATGTTATTTATAACTATATGGACTACAATGTCTTATTTGTGTATCAAGATAAACACATTTTAAATGTAAATACTCATAACAGCTGTAATGCATTTTTATTGTGAATCCTAGTTGCCTGGCTTAAAGTGAACCTGTGGCCAGGCAATGGGCATTCAAGTGTTCACATATGTTCAGCTACCCTTGTTACCCCCACCCAGCAACTGCTACTCTAATGTAAGTACAGAGCAGCCGGAGCTCAGGGAGTAGGGGAGAGAGAATGCTGAGAGAATAACCTGAATGACTATAGTGACCCTGCTGTGAATTTTGAGAATTATTTACTTCACAGTGCTTACAGGTAAAGGAGTCAATGAGGGCTTGGTTTAATGTTTATTTACTGTTTGTTAAGAATATGTAAATACATGAATGCCCAAAATCTAACTACAGTTTAACTTTAAAGGGTAAGTTCACAATTATATGGTTGTGCATGTATTGAAATATGTGTTTGTTGGGTGGTTAATGCATTATGGCTGCATTGATAGATGCATCCATGCTTTTAACATGGGCTGTGTAATAATTATGTCATTATGTATTCCAAATGCAGAGCATTTTTCTTGTAGATTTGTGTCCTGCACCAAGTACCAAATGAATGTCTACACAATTCATACAGTCCCCATGCAAAAAAGGAAATGTATTCAGAGAAAGCACCAACATATAAATGTGCAGAAACTCAAATGTTTAAAGTTCACAAGTATGTCTGTAATAGACAAAATAGGGATATTACAGTTGAAGAAATTCGAAATGAACCGTTGATGGTATATATAAAGATCTCTCTCTTTTTTTTTTTAATCCAAACAAAAGATCTCTTTTTGGCTATGCAGAGAAGGCTTTGGGACTGTAATAAGCCTGTTACAGAGCATCTAAAATGTTTGTAACCCAATATATTGCTCTGCTCTGCTCAGCTCAGTGTATGAACTGTAAATTATTATATTGATGAATGTTATTGGTACACTCATTTTGTAGAACAATTTTATTTTAACTTTATGGTCAATAAATGTTGAGCGTATGAATGTGTTGACATGCTGCATAATAGCTAATGGATGAAAAAGCCATAAAAACTCTCAATACAACTTTCAGATAAGCTATTTAATGAATTTATTTAGATGATCAAGTATGGTTAACTTTCTTTTGTTTTTTGTTTGTAATTATGTAAGATGTATAATTAGTTTGAATTTAAAGATGGAATAAAATATTTTTACAAAGAATGTTTCCTACCCTGTTGATGTGCATGGTATACAGTACTTGCTGTAGAAATGACAATAGACCAGTGAGATGATATTTAGCCTTATAGTCGATTTAATAAACGTAAAGTGGTTGTAAACTTCAGACATGAAATATGAACAAAGAATATCCCTCTATAGCATGTGCTGACAGTAGAAATCACTTCTGAAAGGTTTCCAATGAAGAAAAGTGACCGGGGAGGGAGTTCCAGCAGACAGCCAGTGAATGACAGCCTCAGCTTTGATCCTGTGTGCTGTATGAAGAGAAGTGTGTCCCTTCCCTACAATCATCTTTCAGAGCTCTCCTCACTGAGCTCTGCAGTGTGTAACTTCAGCTCTCCATCCCTTGTTTTCTGACAGCTCAGACAAAGGTTATAAATTCTGGACTTTGAATGCATGTAGAGAAGTCTGCAGATAAACAGGCACAACTTGTGAAGGAGGATTTATTTCATCTCTGTGTATCACCTGAGACCAGTCACTTTACTGGGTAAATGTAAGGGTTTACAACCACTTTAAAGGACAAATATAGACAATGATTTTGGCAGCTTTATGAGCTTGTAAGATGCAATATATTTATATTAAATGTTTTTTTTGGGTTTAGATAGGCTTTAAGGATATAAAGGAAATTCAGTAGGCAAGACTAAGTACAACTTTTAATTTTTTAATTTTTAAAAAGTCACTCTTGGCCATGCCTGTACAACCTCCCAAATTTCTCAATCAACTAATGTTATAGCCATCCTTAAAGCAGAACTCCCGTTTGTAATGTATTAGTAAACTGATCTAGCACAGTGCTCAGACTGCTGATAGCAGTCGTGATAGCTGATTTTAATGCATGCAATAAATCCTCTAAAAATCTCTCACTGTGGCTTTATTGAAAATTTTTGGATGTGCAACAGTTTACTAGAGTTCTGCTTTAGGATTAATAGGAAGACTTGGGACTTGGGAAGAGGCTAGACTAAATTTACCGTACAGGAAACATCACGCTTGGTTATGTCTCTAGAACCTCCCAATTCTACTACTGGTCCACTGCTGTGATAGCCAGCCTTAAAGTGGAAATAAATTACAACCTCCTTTGATGCAATCACCAGCACCCAGCTTTACCATGTGATGAAATTAACATGCCCACAGCCTTAAAATGATAATCTACACACTTATCTTTTAATGGCAAGTTCCATCTGTTATCATACTTTCTTTCTATCTGGAAAGCAGGGAGCACCTACTCTTTAGGCTGAAAATAAGAAACCTGCTTAGTTCTCAGAGATTTCCTCAGCATGAAGATGAACCCCAACTTTTCCAATTGTGAGGATGGCTGCTTATTCTTGTGGATCCTTGGGTAGAGAGTATCCCTTTATGTTTACAGGCTAATATCTTGCTCTCTTCTGCTACTCACCCTCCACCCTCCCATGCCACTGT